TGAATGTTCCATAAATAAATATGCATTCGTAAAGCTACAATATCCTATATATTGCAGAAAAATTACAATTTTTTCTCTGCAGTTATTATCTCTGTTGATAATCAAATTTTGACAACAACACTAAAATCACAATTTAAAAGAAAAATCGAGTATTATTGAATTCTAAATGCATAAATACGTCTATTAAATTAATAAATCATAAAACTAGTACAATATCATCAGTTTTTAACTCTTAATTACTTCAATATTCACAAGGACGCGAACTCCCGTAAGGATGTCGGTCTTCAATAGTGTCTTGTCGGTGCCCTAGTCGTGCTCTCTTAAGTTTCTCTCTGGCGGTACTTTAGAAATCTAGTAACTTTAGCCATACGACGACAGGAGCGCCACTTGACGGCCGCCTTGCTTTTCACGCCTGCGCACTGCCGCGTACTTCGCAGTTTTCGCAGTAACGTTTACCGGCACGCACGCGCACGGTGCATGTGATTCGTGCGAGTGTAACTGTATGTGTACATGCGAGTGCGAAGGTTACCGACTGAAGTACTCGCGAGACGACAATACTTGGCGTGCGGCGACAGCTAGTAAGTAGTAATTCCTCCGGGGAAGAAATTTTCCAGTGACAGCGGAAGAACGTGTCGACACAACGAAGGAAAAAATGTCCGGTACGGGAAACGGCGGCGGCGATGCTGCCAGCAGTAGCAGTAACAGCGGCGGTTGCTGTTCGACGATTGTAAAGAAGCTCGGCCTGCGACCGGTCACGCGGTGCAACATCGCCAAGTTCTACGCGCCGGCATTCGGCGCCGTCTCCTACACTTCGATGTCCATCAATGTCATGAATCCGAGCCTCGTCGTCAAGTAAGCTCCATTTCTTTCAATTCAACACGACGATGACGAGTTGTCTGTTCTGTCGTCTCTTATTACGTAACTGTATGCAATTTGCGTAAATATTACGACAGAAAAATGTATCTTAGATTTTAAATTTTAATGAGTCGCAGAATGTAAATGATGTGAATTAAAAGAGAGATTATAAATAGTACCATTTCTTTTTTTTTTTTTCAGAGTATTCCCAAAGAAAGACATTACAAATTTCTTACTGGCTGGCACTCTGATTGGTACTGGATCATACATTTACACACGCGAACATATGAAGGCTGCACCACAGTCTGTGAGAATTCTATACAGGTAAGATTTCATACTGGTAAGATTTCATACTGGTAATATACAGTGTCTCACAAGAATGTATATATCATAAATGCTTTTCATTTGATGACACAAGTCGATGCATCATTCTATTTTTCTTGATATTCAGTAACAAAGACATTTGTATCAATTTGTGTTGCTAAATGAGGAGGAGAGCACGTATTGTTGTCAGAAGTGGGATTTGAACCTACGCTCGTAGAAAGGACCAGACAGCCCCAAACTTGGTATTGAACTGAGAAGATATGAATCTCAAGTCTGGCGCCTTAGACCGCTTGACTGATAAATATTGTTGTTATTATATTTTAATTAATTGCACTGCTTAGAAGTTAAAAAATTATGACCTTAGACTGAGTGGTGTAATCTCCTAATACGAATTTATTTGAAAAATGTTGAGCATTTATGAAGAGAAAATTTCATGGAAAATGTATATATATGTACAAAATTATTAATCACTAAATGCTAAGAAAGAACGATGTTATTTTCTATCACTAAAAAAAAAAAAAACACGCACAATGGAGACTCTACAATACTCAATGACGAAATAGGCTATTGGATTGTACTTTAAAGTTATATATACTTTTTTAAAAATTCTCATAAATCTTGTACAGATGTATATATACTCTTGTGAAACAAATTGTACATCCCTTTTGGAATAGAATTGAATTATCTCTTATTGTTGTCGCATTTACTTTTCAGTGCCACTGGCGCGGTATTATTGAGCCTAGGATCGGTCTTACTGTGGGCAGTGATACGTTCCATAGTCCCACCAAGTCCAGTCTGCTGTACATTAGCTGGCATCGGCACTGGAGTGGCGTTTTTGAAAGTTGGCTCCAGTTATCTCGAATTTGTGGATGGGCAAATAGCGAAAAAGTAGGCTGTTCCTATATGCTTTCTGTTCTTTTCTTTCCCATCTTGGATTTTTCTCGAATTGTTGCGGAATGAAATTGTACTACGTTGAGCAAGGGACAGCACTTTTTGTGTATTACATTTCGAACGCGACTCCCAAATCGACGAGTCTTGTGGAATTTTCGTTTCATGCGACAGGAGATTACGGAGAGCGATTCAATACTTGATTCATCGGAAATTTTTTCAAGTGCAAATTATGTGTAAGTAATGTTTTTTTCCGTCGCGAGTTTTATATACGCGCGTTTTTTTTTTCAAAATAAAAAAGACAAAATAGAGAATGGATATTCGAGTGCTTTCTACTTGGTAGCACAAATCGATACAAATGTCTTTTTGTCTTTGTTAGCCATTGAATGTAAAAAAAAAAATAGAGGAATGATGTCTGTGTCGATTTGTATCATTAAATGGAAAGCACCCGTTGTATTGATTCCAAAAATGTGAATTGTCGTATCGCACAAAAATGTGATATCGGCGATTCTAGCGTTGAAGAAGGCTTTACCTGGCAGCGAAGTATTCATAAACTATCGTGCGCTTTTTTCTTCGCTCATTTACGCATCGCCGACACGGTGAACGGCATTTTATAAATTGTTTCTTAAGATATATATTGCACGCACTTTGGGAACTCAAACGAGACCCTCGTAATCTGGTGTTTATGGAAAACGAGAAGTATGAGCATCGTATGTTTATCGACAACGTGTTTTGTAAGCTGCATAAGAATGCAATCATCATATGTAGATAACTGTCACCATAAATATATGAATATACGAATTGTGACACGATAGAAAAAAAAGGAATGAAACATACGAACGATCTCCTCACCTGCCTGAAATCCATCGATGTCTATTTTGCATTTCTAATTTTTATTCTAAACTAACAATAACTGTATGTATTGTTAATATTTAAATTTTTATACTTCATATTATGGATGCTATAAATTCTAACAATAGCAACATGGTCAATGAGACAAAAACACTGTTACACTACATTAATCTTGGTTTAAAATTTATCGCTTCATTGCGTAAATGTGCACACAAAAAAATAATCTACTGCTAAGAAAAGTAAAAAAAATGACTCAATTTACTTTTTTTTTCTAAGTTATCTTTACAAAGATAATAATCTTAGAACATAATTCATAAAATTTAAAATATACTTATTACTGTAAAATTTAAAAATTTATATATTCAAAACAAAAACTTTTCTTTTGAACAATATTATAAAATTTTATCGTAGAAGCGATAATGTAATAAGCAAATTTGTTTTAATTGAATAACCATTATTGAAATATAAATTTCTCTTATTAGATTCAGAATATATATTTTGAATAAATTTAATACTTATGATGAACTTATACTAGATTTTTGGATATATAAAACAATTGTAAAATAAATAATTAATTTTTAAATACAGTATATATTTTTCTGTGTGTAGAAAATATCTAAATGGCGCATAATGGTTTAAAAAATGAACTCTCAGTTAGTTCAATAATTGAAAATAACTTGAAGGTGTATGCAATAATTGCAAATTTGTTAGAACTTTTCTTGTTGTCTCGCTGAAACGCGTCTGTTTCTTCAAAACTATTATCGTTTATTTACGCGTGCTAATGCACCCTCGTACGATTATGGCGAGCATCGAACCAGATAAAAGGGGGTCTCAAAGTAATACAAATAAACGCAGAGTGACTGGCCGCGATACGATACTTTGTACGAAGCGCGAGTTAATCTCACTGTCGTTCGATTTTCAATGCTCGTTGCTCGTAAGTAACGCGAGAACATTCTCATTAAAGTTTGAATTAATTAAATTATTTATGACGATAGATAAACAATGAAACTGCGTAAGTATCGCTACTTTCAAGATCACGTGGGAAGCTCATGATACGAATCTTCGCTCTTTGAGATCATGAAGGATTAAATTAAACGCGATTAATTTACGGAAATTCGAATCTTAATGTCTCATTCTGCGCAACGCATTGCGTTCGATATGTCCTCTGTAACCGCAAAAATACGATAATTTATCTTGTTAAGACGACGCTCTGTATGTCGAGAGTTGCAGATGGGAGCTTTTTATGGAGGGTCTATATACAGGGTGTCCAAGAAATTTATTCTTTTATTTACGCCGGTATACTTTTCACCTAATTTTGAATAAATTTTCATATCTTTAAAAACAGAATTTTCAAATAAGAGAAAGAATTCTATTTTCGATCGGAATGGATCTTGATCCTTAATAATTTGTGTATGAATATATTATTAGGTAAGCATTAAGATCCGCTTCGACGGAATATATTTCTCCCTCTTTTTTTTTTTATTTGATTTATTTTTATTAGTCCAATTTCTACTTATAAAAATATTGTGATATCGTTTTAGCAAATGATCGAAAATAAAGAATGACTTTTTGGGAACTAGGCTGAACAATTAAAGCTTTACTTTATTTTTTTTTACACTTTAGAAAACGAGGACACCCTATGTAACCGCGAACGTTGGTCGATCGCTGCATGGTGCAGTGTGCTTCTTCGCGTGTCTTGTTCGCGGCCGCTATTGTTTCGTCGCACCACAATAATGACACGGCATGCTTTCCAACAGTAACCATTCTCAACGCGAAATCCAGATGACGTTTACGAAAGCGTTTTTGCCTCGTGGAGAAGTGTTTGAAGAGCGTATTTTATATGCGTTTTTCAAGCGATTTATTTTTACTACAATCACTTTCCAATCGCGAGGATAAACTCTCACTAGTCTTGAAATAATATCTAGTCTGAAATATTCCTTTTTAATGTAAAAATAATAAACATTCTATTAATTTTTTTCCACAAAAATGTAAGGAAAGGTAAAATTTAGGAAATCACAGAGCCTAAAAGATCCGCTAAAAAAACTTCGCATTTCCGATTAGGCATAAAAAATATGACACAGTTGTAAAAAATATCTGTGGTAATTTATTAAAAGTTCTTACTATAAATGCGCATGGCCTGTTTGGATTCGTTGAATAATTAGGAAATTGAATTGGCTCCCATAAAATGCTCAGCATCCCTTTTTTTTTTTGTATTGCTATCAAGAATTATTTAAACTCTGGAGAACGCCTTCATATCCTATCAATAAATACTTTAGATACTAGAGTATCTAGGTCTTGAAGGCACTTAAATAATCATGCACTACGGACTTAACTTATTCTCTATTACGTAATCTAAAAAAATAAACTCGGATACGATATATCGGTGCGGGAACGCTTTTTTTTCTGATCGCGATTTTGTGTGAGAAATTCTTCAGGATGTTTGTCGCGAAGTAAGTCAGCGAAAAGATCGGAAATCCTGAAAGTTTGTTCCGTACGTCGCGCCGTTTCTCAGTTAAAGCAACAATGCAAGACACCGTCTTATCGAACATAATGAGTTTCCCGCTATTTGCACAATGTCCATTAGAAATATCCATCTACAAGTCCATCTGATCGGTGTATAGTCACACATTAAAAGAAATTAGGTCAACGCTGATCTTCCTCTCATTTTAATATTTCATTTTCTTTACTAAATAATTAAAAAAAAAATGCGAAAAGAGTCCCCTGAGTAAAGGCATCGTTGCCATCTCGAGATCTTCGAGTCTCCCGAGAGATCTTTGTTACGCTGAAATCTCTTGCTGAAGAGAATTCAAAATAAATAACAATAAATAAAGGGCAAAGTAAGAGTGAAACAGACTCTTACTTTGCCCTTTATTTATTGTCATTTATTTTGTATAGGAAGCGAATTCAGTCGTGGAGATCGGAACTTACGGGAACCCAAAGATCGGTCCCCTAACTGCGCTGAGGATGTAATGGACTGGTCTCATTTATATCATTCCTCTGTACCGTCGTCGACGGCATCGTCGAGGACGAGAGGGCATTGGTGAGGACCTCGGCGATGCTGTCGGTTACTTTGTCGATCATCCCTGTGACTACGTCGTGCTTGTGATTGTGATCATGATCATGATCATCTTCCTCTTCTACCTCCGTATGGTTGGGCGAATTGCAATCGTGCGAGTGTCCATGGCCACCATGCGAATGTCCGTGGCCGCTGCCATCATGTGAGTGGGAATGGGCAGCTGTAGACAGAAAGCGTAGATGTTTGAGATGTCACGCGATTTTTAAAGTACGCGAGGGGATCTGTAAAAAGAACTGGCGGTTCATTTTGCGAAGGTATACCTCTCCAATTGCGGAGGTGAATTATAGTAGAATAATTGAACTGTTTGCGTTCACATATAACGAATTTTGCAAAATTTTCGTAAGTTAGAAGAGGTGTAGATTCTTCTGTTCCTATTTCTCTTTCTCTATATTTGTTATTAATTACATTTATTAGAAGAAACAATTGAATTTTAAAATCTCGACTTTTTAATAAGTTATTTAACTTCGTTATTTGACTCTGTCAATACATTTTGGAAATACATTTCTGAAAATAACATTTCGTGAATTTAATTCATTTTAATCACGTTTTTTTATGAGATAACTCGGTAACAGTAAGAGATTAGTTTTTATTAGCTTAAGAGAGAAGGATAGTTCGTCACAGTAAAGTCACAGTAATGTTTAACGTTATTAGGTTTAAGATTTTATTAATTATTGGAGCTAATAACATGCTAATAGCAATGAATTATAAAATTTCCTTTGAGATGTTATATTTCGCGACAAAGTTATATCATAACTTGAGCGTGTGTATGTTGCACCTGATCATGCATCGTTTCCACTGTCATCACTCGTCGAGCCTTCCGTAATTAATTTCTGCCTGTGTGTGTGCGTATATATATATATATATACATACGAAATTCTCCAAACGGCACTCAAACACTTGACGGCAATTTTGTCATCATGAAATACGTCAAACGGTTGAGAAAGCCGTCGAAAGTCGGTCGGATCGTCCATCGACCTACCCGTCCTGGGTCATTGCCATGGGTGGAGAGAAAGCCTTGGGACTATAACCAGATCCCTTATGAGATCAAGATTCGTTTGTCTGTTGTCAGCATGACAGTGTTCATACGTCATTCCAGCACTACACGTGAAACCCGTGTGTGCCTTGGAAGAAGTGGGTTGTTTCCGTATGCAATTTGCCAATCATGTGGCAGCCCGACGCGACTTGTGTAAAAGTTCATGTTTCGCACAGACACGAGTAAGAATAACGAGCTCGTATTTTATGTAGGATAAATGCTCCAATAGACCATTCAATGAATAGAAAGGCATATAATCTAATTTCTTCGTATTATAATATTTTGCTTCTTATAACATCATAAAATATCCGAATTAATAATAAGTACTTTATATTTTATCACACTATTTTATCAGAAAAGTTATACTATATTAATATTCCTATAAAACCCGTATTAGGCTAGAGATTGAAATTGAGACTGAATTTGACCGTAGCGAAGTTTTGCTAAACTTGAGATTGGTTTTCTTCCTTCTGATTGGTTAATTTCAATCTCAACCTCAATATCTGGTCTAACACCGGTTTTAGATTCTTTTTCATTTATGCACTTTTATGATATTGTTTCACAAGATTATGATTTATTAATGCATCCAGTTTCTTGCGTCATTCAGCTTTAGAATTGAAGCGGAACGTTACCTCTGCGATATCTCGATTTCGCGAATCTTTCGTACTCTTGCGAGAAGGTCAAGATGCAATTAAGATTGCGTAACAGATGACATCTGCAGAGATATTACGCTCCATCTCTCCCACCTGTTGTTACTTTTTCGACACTTATGTAATTTCTTTAACGTTATTGGATGCAAAGTAATAATGTGTACGGCACGCGTGCAAAGAACCGATATCACGTCAGTGATATTATAATTAAGTCTCGACTTCGTCGGAAATGTTAAGAATTAATGGAATGTGCTACTGAGCGAGAACGTTCCTACAAAATCTTTGCCTTTCCTACTTCAATTCGACCCTGACTATTCAGTTATAAATGTTGTTTACCGGCTTATTATCTAATGTTTAAAAATATTAGATGCTAAATAAACATCTAATACAACATTTACAATTGAATAGTCAGAGCCAGAGCAATCTGGAGTAAAAGAAGCAGAGTCGCTCGTCATAGAAATTCTCACTTAGTAACTCATTTCATTAATTCCGCCCATTTTCGACGAAGTCGAGATTTAAGTTTTAAAAGTGGAGACGAATGCTCTTGATTATGAAAAAAAAAGAATGAAATAATTTCAAAGTGAATTTGAATTAGGAATATTTTTCACGATCAGCACGAATTACTTTCTGCTCCTGCTGGCATTATGAATTCGTCAATTTTATCCAGTCACTAACCGTACTCCACTGGAATCATGATAAAGTGGCGTAAACTATCAGAAGTAAACAACTGTTATCGGCTGGTATTCTGTGTCAACAAATAATTTAATTCTCATATATACACGTACATATACACATATCTGCCTGATTCGTATATCAATTTTTTTTTTTAAACAAACGTATAAAACGTCCAGATAAGATTTATTTT